TTGTTGATAAGCGTTGCAAATTGTTTTGGGCTAGGGGCCCCATGGGCCCCCTGCACCCCAAGGGCCCCTGAGCAGCGGCCCCGCTGGCCCGGTCCGTAATCCGTCCCCGGTTGCAATACCATTCCTTTGCAATGCCCATGGGTAGTTAGAAAATCCACCAAGGGGGTGAAAATACGTCGAATAAAAACAGCTAAAAAAAAACGAAACATAAGCCATAGATTATTCACAGTCTATTTCTTTATTTTTAGATTACAGAATCTTTATTGCTCATTACCTATAATCACTTGAAATATTTCAAACCTTTTAAACCTGTACAACTTTAAAACTAAAAATTTAACCGGTCGTTTTCGGAGTGAATTTCAGATCCACTTTGCGTTAGAGGTGCTGCTGTTAACCTCTCCCACACGATGGCGCTAAAGGACAACGCAGCGTATACATCGTGCATCACACGTAAGGATCGCGTGTGGGCGCGAAGGTCTGGTGTACAAGGAGTCATACCAAGAATAACCGGAAACATAAATTCTGCGATTAAAAATTATTGTAAAATAATAATAAAAATGTTGCGGGTGGGAGTACATGAACTGGACAAAATGTCTTAATTTGTGCCTAATCACTTTTCAATTATATAACCCACTGACGCACAGAATGGGCACAAAAACATAAAAGTGCAATTACAGAGGTGAACAAGGGAAACTTAGGGACTAGTATGGGAATGTCTGGAAAAACGTGAGATTGAAAGAGGCCAACGAGCCAATAAGACACATCATGGGAATGTTATTAGGATGAAACATTTTCAGGCAGTTTCCTTTGTCCAAAAGAATTTAACCAAAATCATCCGGAATGGCCAAATTTTCCAGACACAGCAAACATAAATTCAACATTTACATGATGTCTAAACAGTTCACAAACAAAATTCTTAAACAGAGTCCATCTTACCAGAAGTAAATCCCCCCCCATGATTTTTCATTTTATCGTTGAAATGATGACTTCAGCACACTGAATTCTACAAGTGAAATTTACACTTAAGAGTAATTACTTTTTCTTATGAGAACATATTCATAACAAAGAAATAACAATGGAGGAAAATAGAGTCTTACATTTCTTTACAAAATGTTTCTGTACACTTCATGTTGTTGTATCATTAGCTATTTAAATATGCTAAATTAAAATAACATTACAGCATGGGCTCTTACGGATAAATCTGTCTACCTGAATCACAGGCATCACGAAAAATTCAGAGGAAGGGAAACTTTAGAGCGTCAGAGAACAGAACAATAATGAATGAAACATGAGCAGCATCGGCAGCACTGAGCAGAGAAGCTGTCTTTGCAGTGTCTGTGTGATAAGGACACCAGGGGTCCAGTCCGCAAACTCAATAACATACTACATCTGTCCAGACGAGGAGAGGAGCTTTAAAAACAGATATCTCTTAAAAATAAATAAATATGCGAACCCAGCCACCCTCGGCCTGGCACCATGTATAAACTCCAGTGACCAAGGTGGGAAGATAGAAACAAAACAAATGAACAAAAAAATGAAGACAATCAGCCTGAAAAAGATGCATCATAACTGTTTTCTGGATTTTTGAATTTAAGGCCAAATTTGCGAAGGGCCTGCGCAGGATGAACAGGGACAAGAGAGGGGGGGGCGTGGGTGGAGGACAGGGGGGTCCCAGCAGCAGGAAGAGCTCGCCAACTGTACAGTGCCCTAAAGATGTGAAATCTCCAGGGGGGGGGGGGCGAGACAAGTCAGCTGAGTGTGGGGGGGCCCTCCACATGTCCAGGGCTTCTTCAGTGTCCCCCCCGGTGCCCTCAGGTTTAATACCTGCCAGTGGAAAGAACGGCAGCTCAAGCCTTTATTTATTCATTTTTTGTGGAGGGTGTATAATGTTGTTACTGTATTATACAGTATGTATTTTCTTTCTGACTTAGTCATACAGGCAAGGTACAAAAAAACAAAAGCACTAAACATCTCAGTTACGTCATCCTTAGAGCAGAAGGAGCATTAGAGTGATATTCCAGTAACGCTATAAATTAGCAGCATGACGACTCGTCATGCAGTGCAGTGGTTCTCAACCCCGTCCCTGGGGACCCCCCCCTAGACAGTCCACGTTCCAGCTCCCAGCAGATCTGCATTCGGTGTTCTTGATTGGCTGAGACCAGGGAGTGAGCAAAAATGTGGACTGGGGGTCCCCAAGGACTGGGTTGAGAAACACCGATGTAGTGGAGTGGGGCCCCTTACCTGTAGTAGTTTGGCTTGAAGGGGCCGTTTTTGTTTAACCCCAGGTACTTCGCTTGCTCGTCACTCAGCTCGGTCAAGTGGGCGTCGAACGCAGGAAGGTGAAGACTGGCCACATACTCATCTGAAAGGGAAGGAGCGACTGACTGTAGCTGGAAAGCTGAGATGCGGATGGTCAGTGACCGGCGCCAGCTGTGTGCTGTGTCATGATGCTGAGCACTCTGGGTCTTCTGCTGATACCCTGAACACAGTCTGACTGAAAGTGTGACCTGGGTTAAACTCAGTAAAAGCTCAAGAACTTCCCAGTGAAAGAACCTTTGAGTGAGAGTCACTGAGGTAGACAGACACTCCGGTAATCAGTTTTATTACCATACATGAAAAGAATAGCCACAATTTTGGGGAATTGGTTTCCTTAACAAAAAAGAAAACCATAATCATTTCATGAAAAAATACAGAATGTGACTAAATTTGCATGGGGAGCCATAAACAGAGTGCAGTAAAAGCAACCACCAGAAGGCAGGAGGGCCAAAAAGTTTGCTCTGAGTAAAGGTTAATAGCATGAGGCCCTTACCCATTTTCTTGGGAAGCAGATAGACATCCTGTTTGTAGCGTCCCTCAGGAGCGTTAAAGAGCTCAATCAGCGCCAGAGCCTTTGTGACACAGAGCAGTGAGTCATTGGAAACCTTCATTTCGGTCACCGATTCAGCAGAGCATAAGGGAATCAAAAGGCTGACCTCATACCCTTCAAAGAAACCCTCTCCAGCTTACCTGAGTGGTAGCAGTGATGGACAGCACGAATGTGGGCACTGTGGAGCAGCTTAGGTTCAGAAGACGGCCCTGTGGACACAGACACAGACACACACACACAGGCCATAGGTGCATGCGCGCACACGCACACACACACACACACACACAGAAAATTGACTTAAATCTGTCTTCTTGCTTTTCCACATTAAACCGAGACCATCCTTATAAAACAGACTGCCCTGATGACATTATATCATCATTTCAAAAAAATTCCTTTGCCTCTCCAAACCGAACTGCCAGTAGCCTCACGAGAACTGCCACCTGCAGTAGTCTGCAGGTCATTCACAACATTAACCAGGTCATAAATGCGGAGGTTAAAATGGCAATGCTGTGTGCCAAAAACAACGTTACTTTCACCTTCTGTAACGACTTCAACAAGGATACAAAGTCTGCAACAAATCTGTATAATAAGTCATTAGCGAATGCCAGAGAGCCACATGAGTGAACATGAGAAATTAAAAGAAAATGTGTAATGAAAATAAAATGTAAATGACAAGTGGTTATTTTAGATTTCTTGTACACCTGTCTTAAAATGTAAGGGATACTGGAGCTTGGTTGGGGTGGTGGGGTGGCTCGCGGTGGGTGCCGGAAAATTTCTCTTATTTTCAAATCCAAAACTTGACAGGTATGAGCCAGGGCTGAATTCTCACCTCAGCTAGCAGTACAATCCTTTTGCCGTCGGGCCAGATGACATGGTCCACCTGTGACCTCACACGCTCCCAGGTGAGCTCGGGCGTGCGCAGGCTGGCCTGGGAAGCGGGACATTGGGGGGGAATCTGTCAATCATATTGGGTGGGGGAGGGGCATATGGGGGTGGAGTCTGATGGAGGTGGGGGGTATATGGGGGAGGAACCTGAAGAGGAGGGACCTGAGGGGGAGGGGCCTGTGGGTGTTACTCTGCAGATTGCGGCCTACGTACCACGTCAATCTCCGTATTGGAGTGGCCCATGTTACACACGATACAGCCACTCTTCATGCGATCCAGGTATTCCCGGACCACCACGTTCTTATTGCCTGAAGAGAGAGGTGGAGAACGTGTGGTGAGCTGCGTGAGTAGGCCACATGGCCCCCGTGATGGGAGGACCTGCCATACCCTAGAGAACTACCTGTGCAGGTGATGACAATGTCCACTTGTCTGATGACCTCATTCAGCTTCACCAGTCGGAAGCCATCCATGCTGAAGGAGGGCCAGGCACACACAGGTTTAACTACCCTGGTTACCTCTCGCTAAAGCACTTAACCCACCCAACACCTGACGATCAAACTCCACCCCCTTGCTCTAGCCCTTTGTTTACCAACCATCCATCATAATGGTGAGATAATCTTCCCGGAAAGCCGGCCGCACATACCAGGCTTGCAGAGCACAGATGGGGTCGATCTCGGTCACGTACACGACGGCACCCATGGCTTTCAGAGCAGCCGTGCAGCCCTTGCCGACCTGCGGCCACATAGAACACGCGTGGTTGGCAGCAGGGCCTGTGATTGGCCAACTGCTACTTCCTGCTATGACCAGCATCCATGACTTTCAGCTGGTGGCATCTAAGATTAAATTACCAACTGACTGATACAAAATCTAAACAAAATATTGTGACAATGGGAGAAAAATGAGAAAGATGCCTGATGAATAATGTTAAAAACTGGTGACCTAAAAATATACAGTTTAGTAGATTACCAACGTTACGGTACAAGAAAATTCACACTGGTGCCAGCAGAATTTCTAAGTTAGTTGGTTACTTCACCCTAAGGCTAACAAACTAACTAGGCTGCAGTGTGATAGCCGGAACATCACCTCTCCGTATCCACACACCAACACCTGTTTCCCCCCAAACATCACATCTGTGGTCCGCTTCAGCCTGTGGGGGCGCAGGCAAGCAGGGTCACTGAATCAGGCATGTCCAGCCCCCCCCCAAATCGCTCTTGTCTCACTAACACCCTCGTCGCTCCACCTACCCGTCCAGGATGGACTCACGGCAGCAGTACAGGTTATCAAATTTCTGCTTGGTCACGGAGTCGTTGACGTTCATAGCAGGAACACACAATTTGCCGGCCTTAGACAGCTGGTACAGCCTGAGAAAAGAGGAGCATAGGAAGGTGGTGTAGTGTGTGGGGGGAGGGGGGCTACTGTGAAGCTGGATGAAGGACTGAACTCAAATCGCCCCCTGTCAAGAAAAGGCTGCTCGGTACTGTCCATACCTGTGAACCCCAGTGACGCTCTCTTCCACGATTCCCTTTATTTTCTTAAACATGTTGGGGTACTTCTTGTAGATCCAGTGGGTCAAGTCGCCTCCGTCATCCAGGATCTGCCAAAACAGAGAGACTACTGAGAGACACCGATTCAGAAACTCTCGATAAGTAGCAAACTGGACTAGAAGTCAGGGCTTCTCACACACTGTGCTGTGCGAGGTGAGGAACATCAATACACATCCCTGATAGTATATCTGCAAACTGCAATTTGCCTTCCTTCACCACAACCCCCTGTGCTGTGTTTGTGTTAAGGGGCAAGGCCGAGGCTCATGAAGAAAGCCTGCAGAATCGGTGTGGGAGAGGGACCCACCATGTTGGGCTGCCAGCCCTCCAGGTTGACACAGCGATCGATGCACCACCAGAAGTCGTCCTCCGACTCGCCCTTCCATGCGAACACTGAGATCCCTGAGCAGAGGGACAGCATGCAATGTACGTCACACTGATAAGCAGGGCTCATCTGCAGTTACACTGACTGTGTGGGGTCCATGGAAGGGGGTGTGGTCATGAGCAGGGTGGGGGCGGGCATGGAAGACACTCACCCGCCTCAGCCAGAGCAGCAGCTACCTCATTCTGGGTAGAGTAGATGTTGCAGGCAGCCCAGCGGCACTGAGCTCCCAGAGCCGAGAGTGTCTCCATCAGCACCTGTGGGGCGTGGGGCTTGTTTAGGCTCCTCCTCTCTGACCCGTGTGTGTGTGTGCGAATATGGGCATACTCACAGCAGTCTGGGCGGTGATGTGGGTACAGCCCACCACCTTGGCTCCTGCCAGAGGCTTTTCACCCTGGGCTCTCTTGCGAAGAGCCGTTAGAGCTGGCATCTCTGTGGGGAGCAGAAACACACAGGGACCCTTAGTGTACACACACGCACAAACACACACACACTCTGTGCTCTTAATACACTCTTACGCATGACTTTAATCACAGGTGGACTGGTTGACGCCCCCCCCAGTGACGTTGAGGGTGCCTCTGAGGGTCTCGGGCAAAGTGAGATTCGCACAGACCCCTATGATGGACAGTAAGGACGATGTGACCCCACACAGACTGGGGAGACTGGGGTCCCGCCCTGCAGCCAGGCCTGTTGGGGGGGGGGAGGGGCAGGCCCTAGGTGTGACTTTGGAAAGGGGGGGCAGGCCCTAGGTGTGACTTTGGGGGGGGGCAGGCCCTAGGTGTGACTTTGGAAAGGGAGGGGCAAGCCCTAGGTGTGACCTTGGAAATGGGGGGGAGGATGGTCCATTGTTGCCCCAGGGCCCACCACTGACTCTAATCGCTTGGGAACTGATGTTCAGAGATATTGGGAGAGTAGCACTGCACTCAGCACACGGCCCAGCCCGATTAGACCGGAATGCAGTGGGAGAGCAGCACTGCACTCAGCACACGGCCCAGCCCGATTAGACCGGAATGCAGTGGGAGAGCAAGCAGCGCGACTCTCTGTCACAGGAAGTGGCAGGAAGTGTGGACAGATCTGAGCCCACATCTGTCTGCAAGTCAACATACGGCCCTCGCGGGCTGTGGACGGCAAGCTAAATGTACATGTACCTTCTGCACCTGCACTGCCCCCGCCCCCCCATCCTGAAGCTCCATGCCACTCACCTTGCTCTGCAATCTCGATCTCCCGGCGCCCGAAGTCGGCCTGTTTGATATTCTTGATGCAGAAGTCTGCGCTCCCCTTGGAGTTCTTCTGCTGCTTGTCCCGTGGGGACGTCTCATCGTCAGAGCTGTCTGTGTAGGAGGCAGCTGCAGGATGAGCGCCGAGAAGTCGCCACACCCGTATCAGTACCAGAACGGCGGGGGCGAGAAGCTCGGCATAGACCAGGGAGTCGGGAACAGCGGCTATGAGAGCGGATCACGGCTTGCTGCTGATACTGTCCCGGGTGTGTGTGTCAGTACCAGAACGAGAAGCTCGGCACAGAGCAGGGACTCGGGCACAGTGACAGAGAGCGGATCACGGCTTGTTGCTGATGTTGTCCTGGGTGCGTGTGTGTCAGTACCAGAATGAGACTGGGGACGCGGGCACGCTACATGGTCTGTCATGGTTGCTGGGTGCGTGTGTCAGTACCGGAACTATATCGACACAGACCGGGGTCTCGGGCAAAGCGGCTACGGGAGCGGATCACATCCTGCTGCTGATGCTGTCCAGGGTGTGCATCTCCATTACCTGAGCTGTAGCTATCTGTGGAGGACTGTGAGATGGACCGGGACAGTGAGCGTCGCCCAATTTTCGTGGGCCTCTTGTTGAACTCCTGTTTCTGGTCGGCAAACTGGATCTGCAATGGGGGGATTCAGAGAGAGAGGCATTAATGGGGTTGCTGATGTTGGCAATGCAGGGGCCAAAATAAAGTCCCAGTTTGAGACTTGGCTCGACCCGAGCCCCAGTGCGATCTGCTTTCCATGAGTGACTCACTGCCCCAAATACCACGCAGGAACGGCATCATCCCCAATGGCCGTCTTCCAGGGATGCTGAGCTCCTCAGGAAACCATTAATGTCCCGCTGTCACTGCTTTGGGTGGGTCAGTTTAAATGAGACTACATCATGCTTTATCTGCCATGTGTACACGTGTGAGTAGAGGGACACTGGAATGTGTTAGTTTTCACATGTCTCATCGTGCTCTTTTCTTTAAAGACACATACACACAGGTGAGAGCGACACTTGGGGCCCAAGCACAGGATCAGCTGTCTATCCAGTAACCCTGCAGCATTTTTCAGGGTGTTAAGGATCTTGTTCAAGGACACAATGGAGAAGTGGATACTCTGCCAAACATGGGATTTGAATCCGTGATCTTCTGGTCACAGGCACAGAGAGAAAATCGCCCCACTTACCTTTACCATGGGGGCTCCCTTATCCTTCCTGTATCAAGAAGACTCGTCTCCCAGACGATGGCAGCACCATGTGATTTATATCCCTGGGGGGGGGGGGGGTGTGTGTGTCTGTACTGGCTACGCCTCCCCTCACTGTGCCCTCCCCCCAGCCAACCACTGTCCATTGTACATCGTCCCCTTCACCGCTGACGCTGGCCAGGCCATGAGGGGAGCCGTGACAGCAGCCTGGGCTAGCGAAGGCGCACATACCCGATTCAGACAGGATGGCAGAACATGGAAGTAAGCCTGGGCTTTCTGCTTCCAAGGCCTGCAGATCAATACAATGGAAGTCCACTAGGGGGCTCTCCCACAAAGGGCTTCATTATAGTAGCCGTAACAGTATATTATGTTACATGTTTAACCACAGGGCTAGGCGAGACAGCAGTAATATTGTTAAATTAACATTCTGGTCTTTGATTTGAATATCATGAGTATCGTGATACAGACTAAACAGTCTTGTTTTCAAGCATAATTGAAAGTGATACGGTACTATTTTTTTTAATACAAATTCCATCGAGGTATGAGTCTCTTGTTGATGTAATTTGTCAGTATACCCGTCGCAGGCTCCATAACTAATGGTAAACCAATTTGGACATCATAATCAGAAAAACTCAAAACTGTAAAAGTGAAGCATTGAAGTAAAGAAATAATGACTTGGATTATACCACAATAATTATCCATATTGCTTGATATGAAACAATGATCATGATAAAATATTTTGCCCTATCAGCCATCCCTGGTTAATGGCTTTGTGTGAAACAGCTATCCAGAGGGATTCTCTCTGTAACCCTCTGTCAATAAAAACATTTTTTAGTGTAGCTCAATTCAACCTGTCCTGTCCTATATCTGTAATTAGAGATGCACCGATCCGATATTCAGTATTGGCGCCGATCCAGACCTATTTGACGAATCGGGTATTGGCCATGCGTGACCGATCCATGTCCTATACTTACTTATTTAGTTTTTGGCAATCTCTAAAAAGATAGCTCCTATTTTGTGTTAAATTTATTTGTACAATCAATCGCACGACAGCTCTTTGCCATTTTACATGTGTTGCTGCCCCTCAGTCTTTTTTGCTACTCAGTGGGTGTGAGTACAGTGACTTCCGCCTGCTGTGACGTCATGCGTATACCCTTCGCAGTACGAGGAGCGCAAGACGTGAGGATCTGGGACTATTTTACGCTTTTAACAGAAACCAGTAGCACAGCGATTTGCAATCTTTGTAAAATAAAGTTTTGAGAGGTGGGAATAGCGTTTAATGGACAATCCCACTTAAAGCGCATGCAACTGTGTCAGACAAAAAAAGTAATGGATAAATTGGGAGTCGCTAACTTGGACTGTCTTGCAAACTCGTTGCAGCTTGTGATACAAGAGGGGCTACCATCGAAACACAGTGTAACTGAGCTGACGCCAATGGGAGAAAAATTGTATTAAAATTTTAAGCTTTCGTCACTTGTGTATATTTCATATTGAACTGCAAATGCCTCAGAAACGGTTAAAACAAGACATACAAACGAGGTGGTACAGTACGTTATGTATGTTTGTAGTAGCTAGAGCTGGGCGATATATCCTAGAAATAAAATCTCCGATTTTTTTCACAATAAATCTGATTTTCAATTTTAATCTATTTTCCCCTCCCCTACTCAAAATCAAACTACAGATGACAAATAAATGGTTCAAAACAAGTTTTAATTTTATTTTTTTACTTTAGAGTTAAAGTGCAATCTGACAAGCCAAAAAAGATGAATGTAAGTGAGATGGCAGACCACGCCATTGTAAACACTTTTAGAAACTTGTAAAAACTTTTAGCATGTTAATGAATCCCGGCTTTTCCACAGTATGTATGGGCACCATGTCTTTTGCAATATACATCGTGACAGTGTTTGATATCGCCTTCCACCGTGCCCGATTCTTATACGGCACACAGTTCGAAAACGTGTCAGGGATGGTTGCTTGCTTAACTTTGGATGTTGTGCTGGTGCTGCAGGTATTTTCATTTCGCTGGGAGCTGCACTTCTCCAACTCCGCTGCGTGCTTCTGCTTTAGGTGCTGGAATAAATTTGTCTTGCTGCTTCCTTTGGTTGCAACAGACTTTGCAACGAGGACGTGTTTGGTCTGTGTCCGATGGTGCAAAACCGAACCATTGCCATGTTGTTTCTGAATCCGCTAGAGCAGGGGTGGCCAATCGTATCCGCAAAGGGCCGGTGTGTATGCAGGTTTTTGGGATAACCTGTAGGTCAGCTGTTCAAACCCAGGTGTGAGGACTCTTCAGCCAATCAGTCCTCTAATTAGTAATCTAATTAGGGAGTTGCAGTGAAAACCCGCATACACACCGGTCCTTTGCGCTTAAGATTGGCCACCCCTGCGCTAGAATGTTTGGGTGCGCCGCGCTAATTTACCCGTGAAGAACGGTGCGTCACATTAGTTCTGCTTTTGGCGCTCGCGTGTAAAATGAGTAATAAAATCGATTTTCATAAAAACACATCATCCTGAACTGTAAATTCGAATTAATCATAAGAACATAAGAACTATACAAACGAGAGGAGGCCATTCGGCCCATCGAGCTCGCTTGGGAAGAACGTAATAGCTCAGAGTTGTTAAAATCTTATCTAGCTCTGATTTAAAGGAACCCAAGGATTCAGCTTGCACTACGTTATCAGGAAGAGTATTCCATACTCTGACTACACGCTGTGTAAAGAAGTGCTTCCTTAAATCCGGGTCTGGATGCTGTTCAGCCAAATGACTATTTCAATATCAGTCTAAATA